TGGGATTCCAGATAAAATAATAGAGTAATTACTAAATCTTAGGCCTTTTGTTTAAACTAGAGGTTCTATCTAAAGAAATATGATTTTGTGTATGATTTCGGTAAGGTAAACCTATCAGTCGCACAGACTGCTTTATATCTCAACAAGTTTATATAATTGTAAGAACTCTTTTGATACTGAGCATGTCAATAAGTCAATTTGGACATCAGTGTAATTGTGTGCTGATCACTGGTACAATAAACTCCTTGGGAAAAATTCTCTTTCACAAGGCCTGCTTAGATGGACAAACATGTTAGTAAGATGTTTGGAGTAAATCCAGAATCTTGGTAAGTGGAAGAATTTCCCACTCTGATTTAATTAAGGCATGATCTCTTTATATGATTTGAAATGTTTCTTCACAGTCTTCTGTGAGACTGTTGTGAGAAATTGCAAGAAGACCAGTAAATGAAATAGAAAGTTATCATCAGCCATCAAGACACAAAAAACAAGAACTTTTCCTTTCCTTTCCTGGCTTTCATGCAATTTCTCACAACATTATTAGGAATATGTCATGTCACAATTCCTTTTTTTGTGTTTGCCAATTCAAATCCACAAACAAACTTACATTTTATATACTGGATAGTAGGATTAGAGAATAAAATGGTATCCTTGTAATTTTCTAACAGCTTTTAACTGTATCTGACATAAATTTGCTTGTGATCTTGGTTTGGAGTGGTTTTATGATGTTTTCAACCATTTTCTTATATTTAGTGTCACAACCCCTGGTATGCCCAAATATGGGAGGAAGCCTACTGCTTCCTTTCTNTCTTTCCAAGCAACCTCCATAAATTCAATGTCTTTTTCCTCACTTGGAACTGAATTCAGAACGACATTTCTTCCAACAATTGCTTCTCTGCTCACATGTCTTTTCATGGTACCTGCTTCCCACTAATAAATCTTCCACAGTTGTTATTCTTTGAAGACACAGAAGAAGAGTGGTTTTAGATAAAGTCATATTGCCAAATATTCATCGTTTACAACTTGATGAGTTGCAGGTTGTCCTAATCAGGTTTCATACTTCTCTCTATGGTCTCAAAAGCAAATTCATTTCCTGAACTAGCAGCTTATAATAGCCAATAATGCAGTTTTCGGGCAACAGAAGGCTGACTATTCATGCCTTCTATTTATCAGAGGCAAAATCTATTCTCTGTATCTGTTTCTAGGTTTCCAGTAATATAATTCATGAACAGAAATTACAGAAATCTAAGTAGCTACTTTAGGGATGATAATTAATGGAAGAGTCGATGTTAGTAGATGCTTCTACAAAAAATAGTTAGCTATGAAAAGAGATAATTAAACAGTACAGTATGCACATCAAGATATTTAGTTATTGTTAAAAAGAAAGCAGTTCACTTAAAAGGTTTAGAAACTACATTCTTCTGATTATTACCATAGTTTATCCTCTCCACATCCACCAGCTGCTTTTAAAACTATGATTCCTCCCCATTGTCTTTCTCTAACTTGATGCCCTCTGGATTTTTTCAGCTAGAAGCCGCCTTAATTCTTAATCAATATGGGCAAATTTATTGTTTAGCCTCTTTCCGGTCCACATTTTGGCCCAGCAGAGGATAGAAAACCATCTAAAACCATAGCATCATTATGAGAGGCAACAAAGCTTTAAAGAAAGTTAAAGAGAGTTAGAGGTTTGTGAATTACAAACATTTCATGCTAAATAAAACATGCTATCTTCCCCTGGCCACAAAGCTAGAGACTGCTGTATTTCTATCTTTGGTGAAGGAGGAGAGGAAGAGTTGTAACCGAGAGCCCATCAACACTGCAGATCAATACTGGAGTCTTATAGTAAATGCAAGAATGCTGATTGGTAATGAATAATACTCCCCATACATTCATACAACAACATGCATGTAGAAACAACTCCTTTCACTGCATCAGGAACATACAGGAAGGCTTTTCTTTCACACTTTTTTGAAGTGCACCACAAAGATTTCAGAGCCATAGTTTTTGCCTTGTGGAAATATTAATACATGCAGGCTGAAGGCTCGAAACCAGGAAACTGAGTTCTAGTCCCACCCCAGACATGAATGCTGGTTGGGTGACTTTGGGCCAGTCCCTCTCTCTCAATGGTGGGTTTCAAATCCCGTTCCAACCGGTATGGTTGGAATGGGGCTGGCGGCATCCTCATGGATGCGTGCAGCATGTGTGCACACGTGCACAGTACATGCATGCGTATTAGTGCCTCCACGATGCTCCAGCTGCTCCGTGGAGCGTCATGCAGGTGCATTATGCGCCATGCACGTGCGCGGCAGCACAGAAGCTTTAAAAAACAGGAAAGGAGCTCGGGTGGGTGGGTGGGCCCTC